TCGATCTTTCTGTATTTTTACCTTTTCTATTCTTTCGGGCGTTCTTATATCGAAGCGGTCAACTGAAATGATTACATGAAGGAAGTTACCGAGGTAACGTGCGATCGTAGCCTAAAGAATAATCTCAATTTTGGAAACGAGCACGTGGCAATTAAAAGACCTTAGAGAAAGATAAAAACTATAACGACAAGTTTCGCTTTGAATCGCAACTACGTCACATAATCACAAAAATGATGAGTCAACCTAACCAGAAAATATTTCGCAGCTTCTCTCGAAAGCGGTAACATTCAGCTTTCACGGTAGCGGTTATATTGAGGTTATACATGTTTTTCTTTTATTTATCTCGATGATCATCGACGTAATACGGAACAGAGAATACCGCAAGATGGCTGAAAAGGAGTCTCTTTTTTTCCTATACAACTGATTCTAACCAAGTTACAACGAGCTTGGTCTACGTGGTCAACTGATCTTACAGAAATTAGCATCTTTACAATTGTTTAATGGATGTCGTCGACTAATCAGACCTCCTGGCTCCTGCAGAAACTGTGCTAATCACCCACTACAGCTGATGCAGTTTCTTACCTTTTTTTGCGTTTTTCGTTTGTGAAAATGTTTGCACGAGTTGGGAGTGGAGATGAGTTTTTCCTTTTACTCTTCTATCGCGTTTATCTGCACAAACGTTTAAAGAACAATATTTCTTTGCCATTCTCTTATCAATTTACTAATCACCATTCATATGGTAAATTTGGCTCTAAGTTGAAATGTTTTGCGCTTTGACTAAAGTTGTTTAAATAGTCACGTTAACGCCGAAGAACATGGTTAAAACTATTGACAGATAGGACTCAAAGGTTTTGAAACAAGACTTAAGAGGTTTCTTTCAGAAATTAGCAAACGCACTACTACCTAGTCGAGACAAGGAGCCTTTTTTACTCAAATGTTGACTTAAAAGAATCAACGAAAATCAGCAGTACTCTGCTGAAATTTATATCTTTATCTTTTCAGAAGAGGAAATGAAATTTTAGCATAAAATTTCGCAATAAGGCTCTAAGGTTTCGCATATTCTTATACTTTGGCAATGTATTCGTGGGTAAGCAACATCAGCCTTGAGGGAGTTGAACCTTTACATATAGAGGCTTATTTCAAAATCTTTTTTAAGACCAAAAACTGTCGGTCATTCGAGTTTAAAACGCAATTTAAGCTGTCATGGAAAACTAGAAAGCAGTTGATATTCAAAACAGTAAATGAACGAGGAGAATCCATCGATCTCCTTACGAAATCCAAGTGTGGAATTTCCTGTTTGACCCAACGTAGATAATATTCCCGGAGGCACTTGTGAATTGGAAGAACAGCTGGAGAAACAAGATGTACGCAGTCGTGTTTCGCGAACTGTGTTCTGACAACGTGGTCTCATGTGCAAAGATTGTCTTAACCAATCAGCGAACGACAAATGTGACAGCTATGCTGAAGCTAGGGGTGAAGGAAAGTTTGCAGAATCATCGTGTGGAGGGCTCATATTTCAACACGGAACACCACACATTCAAGTCAGTCTCGCCACCTTAATCTTGCATAACTCTGAGTTTGAGATCCAAGTTTAAAGACAAATGGCGCACTTAAAGTTTATGTGCGTACTGGTACTTCATTATTTCATCTTTTCGTCTTTGTTCGCGCGCGAAGAAGCTTACGTTATGTATAACAAAGTCGGTAAAAGAATTTTCAAGGTAAACATTTGTTATAAAATGTTTTGTACACAAGGGAGGGAACTCGAATGTCCGACGAAGGATCTGTTTTCATAAAAATGTCCTTCAGTCAACCGAGAATCTAACGGTCCGTCTGAAGTAATACATCGACCGATAGCAAGCTCTGAGAAGTACTTTAAGACTTTCAAGGGCTTTGTTTGGTGCTTAAACCTGTCTTTTTTTCTTGTTCGTCTTAAGTTTATATTAAGAGATTCACTGAAAACCAGTCTCATTTGTTTGCATGAATTGATGAGTAGTAGTTAATGGTTTATTCAGTACCTTAATAGCAGCATGGATCCCATGAAATGAAGTTGATTTTTATTTTCTGTGTTATGAATCGCAGCTGCAACGAAAACTTGAGGTGGGACCGATAATGAAAAGTCGCGTAATGGACTCAGAAACTGCGCGTGCGCAGATACAGAAGACAAAAGCTGAGGACAGTGGAACATGGAATTTTGGATCGACCAGGCCACTAGAGAATTGAGGATCACTTCATTTCACGTTTGCTAGTTTAACCTATCGAATAGAATTACCGAAGCAAATAAGTTTAAAATTCGATTGCTGTTAGTTAAAGAACCATAAGTTATGGAGGGATTTTGATATCATAAAAATAGATTGGACTGATAAAGTAATGAATGAAACTTCCTGTAAGTTGTTAAAAAACCATTGTGATTACCATGAATACATGAAATAATTTCGAACGTCTATGGTGTTTGGGCATCTAATATCAGTTTTTATAAAAGGCAATGATGTAATTTAGCTTTCTTTCAGAGACTTAAATTTTTTTTTAATGCATTTATTATGCTATGTGCCAATCAGTATGAACTTCAAGTTTGCGTATAAATAAAGTTTATTACACAGCAGACGAGAAAAGATAAATACGGTCTGAGTTAGTTGGCTTAAAGCATTGAATTCCATTGAATTAAAAAAATTACGCCTCTTCAGATAATGTGCTTGAGTTAAGCACATTATCTGAACAGTGCGAGTCACGCGTGAAAGAAGGAGCGCGAAAAAAAATTGTGTTTTCGCACTCTTCCTTCGCGCGTGACTGGCGTTTCGCGTTCGCCCAGCACTCGTCTCCGTTCGCCAGTAAAACTCATAAAACTACGCCTGGTGGACAGGCTATATATGTCTGACTTTACTCTTGAGTGCATCCTCGTAAAATTTTGAAGATGATCAGAAATCTCTGTGGAGTGTTCGCCAGTGTTCGATTTGTTAACCCAAGCAAGCTAAGTTCTTTTTCACATTTATTTCAATAAAGAGAAAATTTACCTTTGGCACTTTAAGACCTTCACACCTCCAAATTCTCAGATAATGTTTATCTCAAAATAGCGTAATTTCTTGTATACCTCTCCATACATTCCTGTGCTTTATTGGATATGAATATAGAGGGAAGACCGATACAACGTAAATAAGTTTAATTTGGCTAAAACGAAATTCCCGTTCTTTAGAAGAAAACCCGAAAGGATTCTTTTCTCTCCCATGTCCGATTACACGTCCATTATAGTACAAGTTACCATTTCTTTGGACACTGTTTTTTCTATTGTTTTAATTACATCATTTTGAAAATTATGCGTTGTGTTTCCCCACAGTACAAGTAACAGTCCAGTGTCAGTTTGAATCACCCTCGAAGTCAACGGCAAAGTGGCATAAACCTGTCTTTGCATCCCTTTCGTTATGTAAAGCGCCTTTCATATTGAAAACGTCGGTTAAGTCTTTTTTCTATGGATTCTTTGTCACGCCTTTCGGGCACGAAGTCGTCCAAGGCTTTCTTTATGTCACTGTCCTCATCTACGTCAGGGAACCCACGCAAATGCTCAGCTTCCAAGCACAATAACAGAACGAGAATGATACAAGCCATGAGAAGACTGAAACGAGCCAACATCATGCAGAAAAATTCTTCAAACCACGAAAATGGATTAGTTATTCCACGAATAGCTATAAGGTGAGTGAAAAGTAGGAATCAACTCAGATGATTTACACAGATTTCATATTATTTCGGAACTGTCTGACGTAACTGGACAAGCTTGCCTCAGTTTGAAAAAATGCAATGTCCCAACAAAACTTAACCGATTCATTCTGGTGACTGAATGGTAGCGGACACTTTGATGGACGAGGCAAACTATTATATCCTCATGTGATCTGAGTCCAAGTAAACAACTGAAGGACGTGTAAACCAGGAAAAAAGACGATCTTCGCATTCAAGCTACAATTAAAGAAATTTACGGGAATCAAATCTTAAAGTTTGCTGAAAAGACTCTTTTGGGCGATACTACCAACTGAGCTACGGAGCCACACGTCGAAAATGAGTCAAATTTTAGAGGCGGTTTCCTCCATTCTCACAGAGAAATCTTTGTCATCATAAGTTAATTTGATCTAGTCACAATTAATGTCAATTTTTTTTTTTTTACAATTTCTTTAATAACCATGTGCTTGCAAAGGTAATTGTTAATGAAGTGTAATTCATCTACTGTTCTAAGGAGTTGTAAGATGATTTATAACATAACCAAAGTAAAGCGCGCGCTCTGATTGGTCAATTTAGCGTCCCCCATTTGCCCATGGGTGTACGCTGCTGACGTGAGCAAATCTAAAGACTATTTTTCCGCGCGCGCTTGTTTTTTCTGGTCGCGTAAGATTTGTTAAATAAAAGGATAATCTTTAGCTACAATGTATCAATGTTATGTTATAAAACAAATGGTAAACACCACAGCGTACACTATTGAGTTATGGATGCACTTGGGAGGTTTGCTAAGCACTCAAGAAGCTAGAGTCGCTCTCGGCTATCGCCTCGAGCGACTCTTACGCTTCTTTCGTGCTTAGCAACCTCCCGCGTGCATCCATAACTCAATAGTGTACGCTGTGGTGTTTACCATTTGTTAAATTAAAGCCACTGAAAGTATGCCGCAGATCAGAGCTTATCAAGATTTTATGAGATGATAAAACTGAAGTTGCGTGAAATCCTTAAAATTGGAGATATTGACGTTTTCTGCCAACTTTCCACTAACAATAACTGGCAAGTACTCCCAGCCTGGCTGCGGTAAAGTTTTGAAGGAGTATTTTTGCAGAAATTAACGAGACATTCAAAGAATGTTCTAAATGTCTATAATAAGCTTAACAAGGATTTCAAATATTTCACCGCCAGTCCTGTACCCACAGGAATTGTAATCTGCAATGGACAAAGAAGCACGAGCGATTTCAAGCAGGAGGCAAAGAAAAATTACATCTTGAAGGAGGTTGTCTTATTTGACGTGATACCGCTGCCACAAACGAGTCGTCTCGAAAATATTCTCATTAGATGTCAGTTTTTAATCCTGGCTTGTTTGGGGTTATAAGTACAATTAAAACCAAAATTAAGAAAATTTCTTCGTTACAACTAAATGAAGAACTACAAATAACAATAAAATATGTTGAGAAAAACTAACAAAGAATTTGCTGTAGAATGAATTGGAAAGCTTTGGATGTGTATTTACTGATATAGGACCATCCAGAAGGCAACTTGCATGGATAATAAGAGGATTTTCATGCCTAAACATACGAGGCTACCCATATGTTCATAGCTGTTTCTTGTTTTTTTCATAATAATTTTAAAGCCAAGGAATCAGCGAAAGATTGGTTTCTTGGATCTTTTTAGAATTCAGAAACGCAGAGGCCGAAGTCATGCAAAAATTATCTTTCCTGATCCTTCCACCTTTCCGGCGTGACTTTTTGTGCATTAGCTTGGACTGAGTAACAAAATACTTTAAAAAAAAGTAGTGAGAGTCATTTACGCATAGAGGATAAAATTGCTTGAATGAAATATAGTACTTGATGAGAAGTATGAGTAAAATTTGCAATGTTTACTTCCTCTGCCTTTTTTGAAAAATGTTAAATCCAAAAATTCACCATCTGATGTTTTTCTTACAAACAAAAGGCCAAAATGGAGATGACGGCACTTTACTAAGGTAATCAGGCAGCTTTTCAAACGTTTCATCCTAATTAATCCTAAATTGAGAGAGCCATAATTGCAAGGGTACGCCTTGTATTCAGAATTCTTTTTTCTATGGAAGTCAATTTTTTGTCAATTATCCGTGGAGATGTCAGCTCAGAGCTAAGCCGACAAGTCATTAGTTAAAGTGTTACCAGTCACACCTGAAGCAATTGGTCTTAAAGGTACATCGGCCTTATGCGGAATCTTCGGTAAACCGTATATGCCAATAACTACCGATGAATTAAACAAACACAAATAAAGAAGGACAGGCGTTTTCAAAACACCTTGTTTAAGTAAGAACTAAAGAACAATCCAGCTTTTCTCTATTGATCCGCTCAAAGCATGCTAGATTTAAAGTACAAAGAAAAAACAGAAGATTATGAGGTTTTGATAACTGAGCTGAGAATGTATTTGATTGGCCGCCTTTAAGAGTTTCTAGAGCTAAAGTTCCGAGCGTTAGTCCTCCGTCAGAGGAATTGTGGGTTGTGCGGAGAACGGAGCTACGCTATTAATAGGAACTTGGTAAAGAGGAGAACAAGAATAAATTAGTCGAATGAAACCGAAAAAGAAGCTGTCTGTGGTGTCTAAGAGCTTGTAACATGTCCAAAGACATATTACCTTGCAGTGGAGACAACAAGATAATCACAGATGTCCAAATACACTGTTAATCTCCGACAAAACTAAAACCATGCATGTGCTTATTTATACTTCCGTTGCACAATCAAATTTCGGTATTTACTACAAGTCACAGAAATGCAAGAGTCCACTTGATCAATACTGAAACCCCTAATGTTCTACAAGTTAACACCGTCTCACTCGTCTTTTGTTATTCAAAAGACAGGTGAGAAATGTCTTGTGTATAAATGTTTTTTTCTTAAGGCTAGAATTAAATCTCGATTCCTGGGGTTGATATACGTGCATGCGATAGACAGCAAACCAATATAGGATCTTTCTGTATTTATTCCTTTTTCTATTCTTTCGGGCGTTCTTATATCGAAGCGGTCAACTGAAATGATTACATGAAGGAAATTACCGAGGTAATGTGCGATCATAGCTTAAAGAATAATCTCAACTTTGGAAACGAGCACGTGGTAATTAAAAGATCATAGAGAAAGATAAAAACTAACGATAAGTTTCGGTTTGTATCACAACTACGTAACATAATCACAAAATAGGTCAATCTGACCAGAAAATATTTCGCAGCTTCTCTCGAAAGCGGTAACATTCAACTTTCACGGTAGCGGTTATATTGAGGTTATACATGTTTGTCTTTTATTTATCTCTACTCGTCGAGGTAATACCATGCGGCTCAGAGAATACCGCAAGATGGCTGAGAAGGAGTCTCTTTTTTTCCTATACAACTGATTCTAACCAAGTTACAACGAGCTTGGTCTACGTGGTCAACTGATCTTAAAGAAATTAGGATCCTTACAATTGTTTAATGGATGTCGTCGACTAATCAGACCTCCTGGTTCCTGCAGAAGCTTTGATAATAACCAACCACAGCTGATGTAGTTTCTTTCTTTTTTTTGTTTGGGTTTTTCGTTCATGAAAATGTTTGCACGAGTTGGGAGTGGAGATGAGTTTTTCTTTTTACTATTTTATCGCGATGATCTGCACAAACGTTTAAAGAACAATATTTCTTGGCCATTCTCTCATCTAGTGACTAATCACCATTCATATGATAAATTTGGCTTTAATTGTTGAAATGTTTTGCGCTTAGAATAAATTTGTATAAATAGTCACGTTAACGCCGAAGAACATGGTTAAAACTATTGATAAATATGACTCAAAGGTTTTGAAAAAAGACTTAAAGAGGTTTTTTTTTCAGAATTTAGCAAAAGCGCCACTACTTAGTCGAGACAAGGAGAATTTTCCACCCAAATTTTGACTTCAAAACTGATCAACGAAAATCAGCAGTACTCTGCTGATATCAATATCTTCACCGTGTCAGGAGAGGAAATATTAGCATAAAATTTCGCAATAAAGTTCTGAGGTTCCGCATATTCTTTAGTGTTGTCGAAGGACGTAACGCGAGCTATATTGGCATACTTTGGCAATGTATTCGTGAGTAAGCAACATCAGTCTTGAAAGAGTTGAACCTTCACATTGTGAGGCTTATTTCAAAATCTTGTTTAAGACCAGAAACTTTCGGTCATATGAGTTGAAACACGCCAAATAAACTGTCATAGGAAACTAGAGAGCAGTTGATATTCAAAACGAGAAATGAACGAGGAGAATCCATGGATCTCCTTACGAAATCCAAGAGCAGAACTTCCTGTTTGACAGATCATAATATTCCCGAAGGTACTCGTGAATTGGAAGAACAGCTGGAGAAACAAGATGTACGCAGTCGTGTTTCGCCAGCTGTGTTCCGCTCACAAAGTGGTCTTGAGTGCAAAGATCGTCTCAACCAATCAGCCAACGACAAATGTGACAGCTATGCTGAAGCTAGGGGTGTAGGAAAGTTTGCAGAATCATTGTGTAGAGGCCTGATATTTCAACACGAAACACCACACATTCAAGTCAGTCTCACCACCTTAGTCTTGTATAACTCTGAGTTTGAGATCCAAGTTTAAAGATATATGGCGCACTTAAAGTTTATCTGCGCGCTGGTACTTTATTTTTTCATCTTTTCGTCTTTGTTCGCGCGCGAAGAAGCTTTCTCTTCTAATAACAGAATCGGTAAAAGAACTTTCAAGGTAAATATTTGTTATAAAATGTTTTGTACACAAAAAAGGGAGCTCGAATGTCAGACTAAGGATCTGTTTTCATAAAAATGTCTTTCAGTCAACCGAGAATTTAACGGTCCGCCTGAAGTAATGCACCGACCGATAACAAGCTCTGAGAAGTACTTTAAGACTTTCAAGGGCTTTGTTTGGTGCTTAAACCTGTCTTTTTTTCTTGTTCGTCTTAAGCCTAAGAGCCTCATTGAAAACCGGTCTCATTTGTTTGATGTCTATATTGTATAATGCAACAGGCAAGATATGTTTTTTATCAAAGATAAGTTAACCATTATCCTATGAAATCACGTTGATTTTTTTCTGTGTTATGAATCGCAGCTACAACGAAAACTTGAGATGGGACCGATGATCGAAAGTCGCGTAATGGACTCAGGAACTGCGCGTGCGCAGATACAGAAGGCAAAAGCTAAGGACAGTGGAACTTGGAAGTTTGGATCGACCAGGCCTCAAGAGAATTGAGGATCAATTCATTGATGATTGCTAGTTTTTACCTAACGAATAGAATTGCCGAAGCAAATAAGTTGAAAATTCAATTGCTGTTAGTAAAGAGCCATAAGTTATGGAGGGGATTTTGATATCATCGACATATATTAGAATAAAGTAATGATAAACTTCCTGTAAATTGTAAAAAAAAAAAAAAACCATTGTGGTTATCCATGAATACATAACATGATTTCGGACGTCTATGGTGTCTAGGCCACTAATACCAGTTTTCAAAAAAGGCAATAATGTAATCTAGCTTTCTTTCTGACTCTTATGCCCCTTTTAATTAGAAAGTTTATTAAAAAGCAGACGCTGAAAGGATGAATACGGTCTGAGTTAACTCGCTTGAAGCATTGATTTCCATTAAATTAAAAAAATTACGCCTTTTCAGGTAACGTGCTTAAGTTAAGCTCATTATCTGAATAGTGCGAGTCACGTGCGATGGAAGGAGCGCAAAAAAAAAAAATGCTTTCGTACCCTTCCCTAACGCGTGACTGGCGTTTCGCGTTTGCCCCGCGCTTGTCTCTGTTCGCCTGTAAAACGCGAAAAATTACCCCTGGTGGGCAGGCTAGGTCTGACTTTACTCTCGAGCGCATCCTTGTGAAATTTTGATGACAATCGGAAATCTCTGCGGAGTGTTCGCCAGCGTTCGATTTGTTGACCCAAGCACTTTAAGGCCTTTTTCACATTTATTCCAATAAGGAGAATATTTGCCCTTTGCACTTTAAGACCTTCGCACCTCCAAATTCTCAGACAATTTTTACCTCAAAATAGCGCATAATCTTTTGTATACCTCTCCATGCATTCCTGCGCTTTATTATGCGCATTATCATGCCACAATTTGGCTAAAACGAAATTTCCGTTCTTTAGAGGAAAACCCGAAAGGCTTTTTTTTCTCTCTCATGTCTGATTACAATCCCATTACATTACAAGTTACCATTTCTTTGGACACTTTTTTTTTCTGTCATTTTAATTACATCATTTTGGAAATTATGGGCAGATCAACTTTGTGTTTCTCACAGTACAAATATCAGTCCAGTGTCAATTTGAATCACTTTCGAGGTCAACGGCAAAGTGGCATAAACCTGTCTTTGCATCGGCCTTTTCGTGATCTAAAGTGCCTTTGGTATTGAAATCGTCGGTTAAGTCTTTTCTCTATGGATTCTTTGTTTCGCTTTTCGGGCACGAAGTCATCCGATGCTTTATTTATGTCGCTGTCCTCATCTACGTCAGGGAACCCACGTAAATGCTTGGCTTCCAAGCCCAGTAACAGAACGAGAATGATACAAGTGATGAGAAGACTGGAACGAGCCAACATCATGCAGCAGAATTATCAAAACCACGAAAATGGATCAGTTATTCGACGAATAGCTATAAGGTGAGTGAGAAATAGGAATCAACTCAGATTATTTGGACAGGTTTCATAGTATTTCGGGAACTGTTTAAAGTAATTAGACAAGTTTGCCTTAATTTGAAAAAATGCTATGTACCAAGAAAACTTAACCGATTCATTCTTGTAAGTGAATGGTAGCGAACCCTTTGATGGACAAGGTAAGCTGTTATATCCTCATGTGATCTGGCTCCTGGTCAAAGTAAACGACGCGTAAACCGGGAAAAACTGAGACGATCTTCGCATTCATGCTACAATTAAAGAAATTGCAGAAAAGAAGCCTGAAAAAATTTAGTTTTTGACAGGAATCAAACCTTTGCTGAAAAGACTCTAGTCGGGCGATACTAGTAACAACCGAGCTACGGAGCCACACGTCCAAAATGAGCCAAATTTAGAGGCGGTTTCCTCCGTACCCATAGAGAAATCTTTCATAATAAGTTAATTTGATCTGGTCACAATTAATGTCAGGCTTTTTTTCTACAATTTCTTTAAAAACCGAGTACCTGCGAAGGTAATTGATATTCATCTGTTGTTCTAACGAGTTTTAAGATGATATTAAAGGCACTTAGTGTATGCCGCAGATCAGAGCCTATCAAGGTTTTATGAGAAGATTTAAAAGTTGAGTGAAATCCTTAAACTTGACTAGTAGGGCGATACTACTTACAACTGAGCTAAGGAGCCACACGTCGATAATGAGGCAAATTTTAGAGGCGATTTCCTCCGTGCTCATAAAGAAATCTTTCTCATTATAAGTTAATTTGATCAAGTCACAATGAATGTCAGGTTTTTTTCTACAATTTCTTTAATAACCGTGTACCTGCGAAGGCAATTGTTAATGAAGTGGAATTCGTCTGTAGTTCTAAGGAGTTATAAGATGATAATAAAGCCACTGAAAGTATGCCGCAGATCAGAATTTATCAATATTTTATGAGAAGATATTAAAGTTGAGTGAAATCCTTAAAATTGGAGATATTAACGTTTTCTGCCAACTTTCCATTAACAATAACTGGCAAGTACTCCCAGACTGGCAGCGGCGAAGTTTTCAAGGGGTATTTTTGCAGAAACTAACGAGACATTCAAAGAATGTTCTAAATTTCCATGATAAGTTTAATAAAGCCGTTCTTTAGTCGTTTTTCAAATGTCACAATGCCCCATCAAGTTTTAAAACTGAAGATATTTCTTAGAGTCCTCATTAAAAAAATTGATTAACACGGAATCAAATCTTAATTCTAAATCTGAAACCCTTATCCCTAAATCCAAATCCTTAATTGTCAGTTCTACTTAGATAATGTTACTAAAATTCGTGCTGAACCAATAAAAAATTTTTTTCTGAGAGTTTCGAGTTCTCAACAGATCAAATGTTGAAAACGGTGAGTGCATGTGTACACTAGTCAGGCGTCAATAGAGCAAAGACTGAATAGTCGAATTAAGATAAAACTTTTGACTAAAAAATGACCCAGATTAAAATCTTAGTTGGTTGGCCTATTCCTGAAACGTTTGCAGCATTTGTCTTTAATTTGGTTTTGGCTTTTGAGTGGGTTTTTATTATTTAGTGTTGACCTCTATTTCAGTGAACATTCTTATTACATCTTTACCCACAGATAGGTCACAATTGTTGTATATTTCTGTTATGTCATCGGTTACTCGACGAAGCAATTCCTTTAATTTTTGAGTTGAGTCCTTCTCGTTCCTTTTCAGTTCGTAACCATTTTTCTTATAGGTAGTTGGGCCATAATTCTATTTCTTAAGCCAAAAGAAATTTCTGCACAATGGTAAATTACTTACAAAAACAGATTCTGAACACGAAAAGAATAAAATGTCAAGCCAGTTGCTACATTGGTAAAAGAAGGACGAAGTACATAGACTTTACTAACCGGAAGATTTTAGCCCTATTCAAGCTGCTAACCTTTTTTTCTTTCAACGCCTCTTGTTCCTTCGGCTGCTTTTTACGAAAGATGCTCTTCTAGGAAACGGTTTAAACTAAATACAGAAAAATGAAGTTTTGGATTATACTATTGCCACACAACCGGAATAACCTAAATACATGCCAAACATGATAGTTTTGTTTTCCTTTTGTTCTGTTTTCTAATGGCAAAATGGATTTGCCGACAATAACATTTCCTGTGCGCTCTAGGTGTATCAATGAACCCATCTGAAAAATTTTAATTGCGACTTTTACTTAGTCAAAGCGCTGAAAGTATTACTTAAAATTGTTACATCTTAGTTTCCGGCTTTTATCATAGACATCACAACCTATGAAACTCAATATCCGAGTACGATGAAAATTCAAAAGGTGAGACAGGCAAAATGATGCCGGATTTTTTTTTTTTGCAACCCATACAAACATTCTCACTGTTTTGAGATCGATCTAAATATCTGATTTTGAAAGTCAAAATAACGTTTTTCATAAAGCTAACAAGTTTTGCCGGTGTTGAATCGAGTTGATGTCAAATGCTAGAATGACTGAAAATACAATTTATGTAAAGGACATTTTTAAGGGAAATCGCCAGTTCTTGTCCGGCACTTTTAGCGGCAATGATGTCAATCTATATATTCAGCCGGGTGTAAAAAGCCGGTGATATATCGCCAACTTGCAAAAGAGTACCAATTTGTTTGAAGAAAAAAGGAATAATTGAAAAAAGGTCAAGCATAACGGCGGGAACAATCCTTTGGCGATATTACTGCCAAACACTTTTTTTCACCGCGGCAATTGACTACTTTTGTGGCCTCTGCTGATAACCTTGTTTATCCCGCGCATTATTAGTTAGATCTTGACGAAAATATACTCTTTATTCCCAAAGTTCCAGTATCAAACGAAAATTAGCATAATTGATAGTAAATCGACTAATGGATGAGAAACTTTGTATGATAATAACGTGCGGATGATTATATGACGAGACCCGTGTTCTGATTGGCTCAGGTTTGACTGAGGGCGTAGATGACTGCATGATATATTAATTTTCAAGATGGCCGCCGTGGGAATTATACTGATGCTTTAAAAAAATGGAAAATGAAGTGAAAAATACGTAGGTGATCTCAGAGTGATTTAATTAGTACACGTTGTTATCTCAAGGCAAAACGCCTTTTAACGTGGGATGAATTGATCGCAAAGTCAATCGCTGGATAAAATCCAATGGTCTTTTTCACCATTTGCCGCCGGGCTTTGAAGAGGCAATTTGTCTCCACACCTTTCCTGCAGAATAGCGCACATATAGAAAGCATTTTTAAAGCAGGGAATTCAGAGCGTTAAGTGGAGATCCACACCGTACAACTTTTCATTCTCGCTTTCTTTTAGTTAACATAGCTAGGATTTTTTATCAACTTAAAAGTGGCTTAAACGATGATTCAAAATTTATTCAGCTTCTGGTCATGACAGATTGACAATGAACTGTAACTAATATGTAACGTTATTTGTTTCCTGTGAAAGTGGTTAAAGGGTTTTGAACAAACAGCCACCGGGCTCAGGTATTCAATAGCCTTTTTTAGCTCTTTTCATTCAGCTTTTGCAACCGTAGATAATTCATCCGAGCATTCGATAGCTGGTGAAACTCGAAAGTTTCCACGGCTCCTTAAAAAGAAAGCACCTTGCCTTTACAAAAGAGGTGGTAAAGAGAATATTTCAATAATACACAAGGGCAAATAATTGAGATAAGGATAAGCAGGACGAAAAATAGCTTTCCAAATTACCTTGGTTTCCTCGAAAGTATCAGTGTCCATAACTTACATTCGGGACCAAAAGACCGTTAATATTGAAATAAAAAAGCTTTGGCCTTCTAGTCCATATTTGACTTCAAAGCTAATGCCAACTCCACTTGTTTTCAGTCAAAGGTAATTTCAAATAATCCAGACGGGTGTTAATAATAAAGTATCGAGGGAAAAGGTAAAGCGGGACACTAAAAAAGTCTTGTGTATGAGCTTTGGTTGACTTGAC